CAGGAATGACCAACAGTTATGGCTTAAAGCTTCGACACATCCAATCAGATGCCTTGTGGGTGGGGCATCGAAATGCAAAAAACGATCTACTTCATGTTGACCGTTTTGAGTGTGATGTATACAGTCAGCACTGTTTGACGGTTGTTTATGGAAACGCGTATCGGACATATTTTAAGGTCATGTATGTTGTCTCTTAGTGTTAGAAATCACTTGCGTACACGCAGGTCCCTAATCAAAAGCGCTAAAGTCAGCAAATATAATAGTCCGCTAAGCTAACTAAGCTAACTATCTAGGCAGAAGCATGCCGAATTTTTGCGCGGCCCCAAACTGTACACGGAAGAGCACACAGTCGGATTTGGCATTCTTTCGTTTTCCACGGGACCCAGAGAGGTAAGCCATTATATCTAATGATACTTTCGTTGATAAATTTGCATATGCATGTAATTTATCATTAACAAAGTTAGATTTGTAAATTAAAGTTGCAATGTAAGGACAGAAAACTCATCAGAGATGTATATGTTTCCGAATTGAGTGAGTTAAGTGTTAACTTACCTGGTAGGTTACTTACTTATACTTTTGAGTGGACTTAAATGACCAAAATAAGGTTTAAAAGTCAACATTATGCAAGAAAATTATTTTTACTTCCTTAATTTTTTCCCACAGTAGCTGTTTAGTATTTGTAGTGTTGTATAGTTGGACAATAATGTTGAACACAACCTCAAAATAAATAGTATTCATGTTTTTATGTATACCTGTCACTTGTCCCATAAGTAGTTTTTACAGACATTGCTGCTTGCAGATTGTCAGAAGTCACATAAAGCTGATTTGCATGTGTTTTTTTTCCCAAGATGCCGGATCTGGGTAGAGAACTGCCGCAGAGCAGATCTAGAGGCAAAAACATCAGACCAATTGAACAAGCACTACAGATTGTGTGCCAAACACTTTGAACCAGCTATGGTGTGCAAAACAGTGAGTATCTGGTATGATTCTAGCCAACAGCATGTTTTCACTTATTTCTAAAAAATGTGAATCTCCAAAAATGACTTGTGTGAATCTGCTGCTTTTCAGAGCCCCTACAGGACTGTACTGAAGGATACAGCCATCCCAACCATATTTGATCTGACAAGCCACCTAAGAAATCCTCATACTAGACATCGAAAGCGGATTAAAGAACTTGTAAGGACAATATTTATGAGCACTTAGGTTGCCTTTCAAGGTTTTAAATGCATCTCTTACACTTTGCAGTTTGACCAACTGTTGTCTGATTTGTGAATTCCATTTTTCATTTCAGACCGAAGAAGATATAAGGAAGATTAAAGAAAGGAGATGTAAGTAAAGAGGAAATGTATTTTTGGTCACAAATGAAAAACTAAGCATCAATTTACTTAAAATGAACCATTCCGTTCTTGTCTGTCTCCCTCTCTTTACCCAGTGGCATCTTCTATTGAACAGCTCGTTTCCAAAAAAGATGCAGCAGTTGAGGACAGCACAAGCACCAACGAGGATGAACCTCAACTGTCCACAGAGGAGAGGGAGTTTCGTGAATACCTGAGATCCTTGTTTGAGGTTGTGGTCATGTTAGGAAAACAAAGCATCCCATTAGTGGCTAACAAAGCATCTGAAGCTGAATACAAGTCCAACAACTTCCAGGCTCTCCTAGATTACCGCATGAATGCTGGAGATGAAGCTTTGAGAAAGCGGTTTGCGGCAACAGCTGTGAACACAGAATACATTTCTGCAGCCCAGCTCAGCCAGCTGCTGGACGTCTGTGAGAACACAGTGAGGGAGGAGATGCTAATGGAGGTGAGAGAGAGTCGCTTCTTCTCCCTCGTGACAGGTGACCTTATTGAATTTGCCAACGAGCAACACTTGCCTTTGTTTTTACGCTTTGTGAATCAGCAAAATGTCCTTCGGGAGGAGTTATTGGACTTTATGCCATTTGATGGTGATGAGTCTGCACTGGTAGAGAGGCTAGAGGCCCAGCTGACTGAGCGTTGGGGGCTTAGCATGGAGGACTGCCGTGGTCAGGCCCATAGGGCCATTGGAACTTCCACCACCAAGATGAAAGCTGTGGCAGTATTACTGATGGAGAAGTATCCCCTGGCATTGCACATGCCTTGCTCCCATATGGCACTGAACCTCCACCTGGCCAACAGTCTGCCTTTTCCCAATGTCCAGGTTGTCATGGAGACTCTGAGGAGGATTGGTGCTTTCTTTAGAACCCCGCTCACTCAGGATGAGCTAGAGAATGCTATCTGTACTCACTACCAGAAAACTGAAGAGAAGGTGACTGCACTAAAACAATCCTGTGGCTCAGGATGGACAGAGCAACACAATGTCTTTGACGTCCTGCTAGATTTGTTGCCAGCTCTGCTGCTGTGCATGGACAACATTCGAGACAATGATGGTGGAAGATTTGCTGATGCTGTGAGAGCAGATGCATATTCACTTTCAAGAATTCTGGCTGACTTTGAGATCATTGTCACCATCGTCCTGTTAAAGAATGTCCTCACGTTCACCAGAGCCTTTGGTAGGAATCTCCAGGGAGAAACTCTTGATGTGTTTTTTGCTGCCAACAGTCTCACTGCTGTCCTGCATTCACTGAACGAGGTCAGTGACAACATTGACGTCTACCATGAATTCTGGTATGAGGAGGCTGCAAGTGCGGCCAGTGTAATGGAGATTCCTGTGACAGTCCCGCGGCTGTTCCTTCGAAAGCAGCGCACAGCCGAGATGGATGAAATCCAAGCAGAGGCATATTTTAAGGAGTATGTGACTGTCCCTGTTGTCCGTGGCGTCATACAGGAGGTGGAGGACATGTTCTCTGAGACCAACCTCAAAGCTCTTAAGTGCCTGTCGCTGGTCCCAGCTGTCATGGGCCAAATGAAGTTCAACACCACTGAGGAAAACTATGCAGACGTGTACTGTAACGACCTCCCCAACCCAGACACACTTCCTGCAGAGCTTCATTGCTGGAGAATCAAGTGGAAGCACAGGGGCAAAGAGGTGCGCCTGCCCGCCACCATCCACGAAACCCTGCAGCTTCCAGACGTCAAGTTCTTCCCCAATGTGAACGCCTTCCTCAAAGTGCTTTCCACCTTACCAGTGCTGAAACTGGAAGGCAACAAAAGTGACACAGTGAGCGAGCGCCTGCAGGCTTATCTCGACAGCATGCCCGCTAAGCAGTGGAACAAAAGTCTTGTATTGCTCAACATTAACACTCATGTTAAACATGACTTGGATGTCATGGTAGACAAATATTGCAGGCTTTATTCAGAGGAAGACCCTGAAGCGGAGGCCGAGTTTGAGGAAGCAGCCGAGGAAGATGCTGTGATGAAATGATATGACACAGACACCGAGCTTAATTAGCTACTCAGACAAAAGTTGAATAACATAAGTCAAAGATGCACCCTCCTAACTCATGTATTTTTTGGTGCATGTACACCTGATATTTGTACTAATAACTTTAATGTAGATGTAAAGAGGTTGTGGGTGTTGTTGTATTCTCTGAGATTTCTGAGAAAAATAAATGATCCTTGTTCTTATGTATTTAAATACACCACTGCTTAGTTTTATATTGTAAATAAGTAAGCAGATTTGCCAGGAAGCAAACATTAATGTTAATGCTGACGGAGACCCAATAAAAACTGCACCACCATAAAATGTCCATAACATGTGAGACGGTGTTGAAGATGTCTAATCGTTCAAAAGTTCTGAGTCTATGTCCAGCTGTTCTGTTATTAGACTAGACTTTTCTGTAATGATTGTAATGGAATTATTTAGTAGCTTTTTGTGTTTTCTCATTGATTTTATTTGTTGAATTGCATAGTGGATTTTTCCTGCTAATAAACAATTCACTGTCACATTTTCTTGGTGTTTGGCCCTATTCAGCTTCGGTATGGTGATTTCTTCCCCCTGACCATGAGACAGGAAGAGAACAAGAGGGAGTAGTTATACAAGTATCAGCAGTACAGCATCCCTGGATTCACACAGATGGGGAGCTTTTTTATTTTAATAAATCTGAATCTTCTATTAGTTGTGCTACACAGTATACAGCATAAATGAATATATCCTTCTAAAACTCATCAGATTTTGCTCTCTCCACACTAGAAACAGCTTTGTGTTTTTAGTGATGTAAACAGCAAAGGTGTTTGTGTCATGTACCGATGAAATGTAAGTATTATATGAGGAAGTGTTTTTCTTTTCAAAATGATAAACCTGTGTTCAAAAATGAATACATCCTACTGAAAGTTTCAAAAATAAATATTTGTTGGTGTTAAAGGCAACTGAGAAGGCTGCTTAACCATCACACTGTTACATCGCTCTCAGACAGAAAACTGTTTCCTTGTACAAGACAGGACAAGAGGTACAAGAAGATCAGCAAATCACTGCTAGTAAGTCAAAACACAGTAGCAGTAGTGGTACAGAAAATCATGAAGTATGGACTTGTGACAAGCTCCAGAAACCACAAAGTAGAATGAGCCCTCACAGAGGAGGGATGTGTGGCTGTAAGCCTAATGCCTGCTGGGAGCCACTGCTGAAGCCAAAGCAAGTGAAGCCCATTCGCTCTGCCAAGGCCCAGACTGAACAAGTTTAGGCTCTGATGAGAGCAAAGTCAGGCTTTTTGTATCCAATGGCATCTGGCATGTATAAGGCACCATGAGGGTGAGGAATACAGAGAGAAGTGCATGGCCTCCTTAGTGAAGCACGGTGTGGGGGGGAGTTCTAACATGGGGAGAGGTGAGCGCAAACTGGACTTCATTTATAACACAATGAGCTGATGATTTACTGCTAGATTTTTTTCTCTTTTTTTTGCAACACTAAATAACACGTTTACAGGAAAACAGACATAACAGAAGATGAGACAACAAACATTAACAAAAGAGACAAAGGACTATTACATTTACTTTGTGTGAAGGTGTGTACTGTGGGTGTATCTAACTCTGGGAGAGTAGAGGAGAAAAGGTAAACGAACCACCAGCACCAGGTGAGGCCACCACTTGGGGAGCTCTGGAGCAGCTCAGCGGGGTGGGGTCATCCAGCAGCATCCTTGTATTGTGGTTAAAGCTATGGAAGTTAAACCTTCCTTTTGTTTTAATGTTCATCGTGGTTTATTTTAATAGTTGACTGTTGGGACTGAAACACCCCGGGGTCAACCCCTGACCTTGACAGGAGAGACCTGACCCAATGTATAGTGTGTTCCCCTCCTAAACAGCTCCCAGACACTGAGGAGGGAGCTTGTCTAAGATGGTGTCAGCAGTCCAGTGATGCTATATGTTTAGGGAAAGGAGACAGTGACCTGGCCTCCTCCCCCATGATGTCCACCCCAGAGAGACCCCAAGAGTGACCCCAGATGGTAATAATAAATAAAAAGTAACACCCACACTGTCAGTACTCCCATCAGTTATAATAATGAAAGGAAGAAGAAGAAGCAATAGAGTGTGACAAGGCCAAAATGACAGACATTAACTATATAGTTAGTAATGCTAATGTTAATAACAATAGTAACAATAATTAAATAAAAGCAGCTTGTTATATTTCTAGGAGTCTGTGCGAATGTGCATGGCCTCAGCCCCAGGTACCTGGTTTACGTTAAGACTGGTTAGAAACAGGCCGGTAAAGATAGATATATTATTCTTATGGGTGGATGTTATTTTCTCTAGTGTGATGTGTAATGAGTTTTCAGATTTCCAGTTTATAAAGATTGTTTTCTTGGCGATAGAAAGACAAAAAGTGGGTTTTTATATTTAATTGGTAGGTGGTTGACCTCTGTGACATTACCGAGCAGGCAGAGTGATGGAGATGGAGGCTACAGCTACAGCTCAAGATGGTAGAGAGTTTCTCTGTCACTGCTACCCAGAGGGAGTAAACGGGTTGGCAGGTCCAAGTAGCATGGAAGTAATTATTAGCACAACCCAGAGTGCATTGTGAGCAAGTATCTGTATCACTGAGACCCATTTTAAACATTTTACCTTGTGCAGTAGGAGTCCTGTGATGCTTTGCTTTCTAAGTAGCTTCCCCAACACTGGTTGTTATTATAATATGTTTAATACATTTCCAGTTTGTCATCTTTCCATTAGCTGTAACTGTAATCTTTTAGAAATATAACGTGTCTTTATGCTCAGAGGGGGTGTACTCCTTTATGTTGTATACTGGGTTGTGTTTTAAAAGAGCCAGCAAGTTGGATGTTCACAGTCCTGTGATGCTTTGCTTTCTAAGTAGCTTCCCCAACACTGGTTGTTATTATAATATGTTTAATACATTTCCAGTTTGTCATCTTTCCATTAGCTGTAACTGTAATCTTTTAGAAATATAACGTGTCTTTATGCTCAGAGGGGGTGTAATCCTTTATGTTGTATACTGGGTTGTGTTTTAAAAGAGCCAGCAAGTTGGATATTCACTGAACAGTGGGGAAATACCATTCTGACATGTAATAAAGTTCCATGTTTGACTCACCCTGTACTATTGTGCAGAAAAACTAAACAAAGACAAGCAAAAATAAAGCTGCTGGGATTTTTAAACATGATGTAGCAGTACTTGCATTAAAGGGTTTTATTATTAGGCCTTATCTATTTTTACATTTCAGCTCCATTATCTGCCATTACCTCCAAATGGACCAGAGGCTTCTGTCCTGTCCACTGACATTTATTTTGGCAGCACAGGGGTTAACCGTGTCCCCTCCCTTCTGGCTGGCCAGACGGTGACGAGCTCAGGTGATAGTTCATCGTGCAAACCCACAGCGCAGCCCCCGAGTGTCTCGAAGCCTCCCATCCCGAAGCGTCTACAGCGATGTGCACGCCACAGCGAACCCCGTGTCCATTTCCACTTCAGTAAGAGGGAACAGCCTGCAGGAGGAGAGAGGGGGAGGCGTGTGGGCTCTGTTGCCCTTATCCTCGTGTAAAGACTGGTGAATACGATCAGAGAATAACGCTGCAAGGAGAAATAAACCTGACTGGACAAAACCTGAGACGGCAGCAAAGGGGTTAAGGGCCGAGCACTTGCAAGTCTTCGAGTCGTGAGTAGGACATTTTACCCTGATTTAGTTTTTTTGTGCACCCTTTTTCTAGTCACACAAGGCTTTTAGCATCATGGCCTGGCCGTGCATTACGCGTGCTTGCTGCATCAACCGCTTTTGGACCGAGCTGGACAAAGCGGACATCGCGGTGCCTTTGGTTTTCACCAAATACTCGGATGTGGCCGAGGTGCAGCATCTGCCCTATCACCCGCAGCCGAAACAGAAGAAGGCCGGTGCTATTGCCATAGAAACCCAGCCCTGCCCCGGTGAGCAGGAGGCTGGGAAGGCACCGCCCGCGACGGGTGCCGCAGCGGTCAAAGATGGCTCTTCTGCGTCCGTCATGCGCCAAGACTTCAAGGCGTGGAGAGTGCGCCCCGAGCCCAGCTGCAAACCCAGAAATCAGTACCAACCCTCGCCGGGCCCGTTCAATAACGAAACGCAATATCAAAAAGATTACAAGCCGTGGCCTATACCGAAGAAGCACGACCACCCGTGGATCCCCAAACCCAGCCCCACCGCCGCCCCTTCCATCACCATCTGTAGTGGACCGGAGCGGAGCGCAGGGGGCGGCAAGCAGCTGTATGCGGCCGGGGAGGTCGAGAGCGGCGTGGAGAAGAGCGAGATTGAGGAGAAAACGCAAGAGAAAGAGTCAAAAGAGCTGGTGAAAAGAAACGTTAGGAGGGAAAAGTCAGCCGAGAGAAAACCAGCTGAGAAGGCGGAGGGAGAGCCTGCAGATGTGAGCGCTGAGCAGAGGAAAGGCAGAGCGGCTGCAGACGCGCTCAACAGGCAGATAAAGGAGGTTATGTCCACTTCTAGCAGCTACAGGTAAATGGTCTTATACTTGTACAGCGCCTTTCTATGCTTTTACAGCACACTCAAAGCGCTTTCACATTATTCAGCCATTCACCCATTCGCACGACCACGAGTGGCATTAGGTTTTCTTAGTGTATATAGATCCCACTGAAATAAAAGACTTTGTAATGAGTTCCACGGAACCATTTTAGATCTCCAGCTCTCAGCAGTGCTGCAAACAAATGTCCTGTGCACATGATTCCTGACTCTCTGTAAGCCAAGCAGCTCTCTCCTGTGATAAATCACCCTTTTTAACATTATCGTGGCATATTTGGTTTCAGTTTCTTGTTACAATCTCCAGTGATTTCCAAAGCAAACTGCGTTATTGATTTAGTTTCCTGCCTTATCCTCCCTGAGAGTACTACCAAATCAATGCTGTATCCCCTGAATGAGAAAGGGTCTGAATGTTATCAAGTGTCTTAAGATGGTTTTTGACTTTGCTCAGACAGCCTCCAAATTGACTTGTGCAGTGCAAACAAGTGAACCAGACTTTCACTGTGGTTCCACTGGAATCCAGTGACTTCAGCTAAGACTACACCAGTGTCTTCAGTTTGCTGTGTAGTTTAATAAAGTGAAAGCTATGCCACATAATACCTATATGTAATGTAAAGCTGGGTTACAATGGGCTTTACAAGCAGTGAAGCAAAACTCATTTTGATTATGATTAACAAATATTCAACTAATAAGTAGAAACCGATATAAAAGATAAACAAATACATGTTAGAGATAAACATTTATTTATTTATTTCCTGCCCTTTACTTCCTCAAAGGTTGAAAGACCTCTATCTAAATTTATTTACCTTTCCTATGTCACATTGTTAATTACTGAATGGAACCACCCTTTGATTTAAGCAAAGAATAAAACACAGTTCACTAAAGTCAGTTTAGCATTTTAGAGGATAAGGGTAATCACCTTTATTGGCTGAGTATGTTACACACAAGGAATTTGTTTCCAGTACAGAACCTTATCCTTATCCTTAGAGGCCACGCCCATGAAGAGATCATGACACCGTGGACTCTGGTCGTAGACTTAATGGCTCCCCAGGTTTTTTACACAGGATCAAGATGCCTGGACTGAAGGAGAAAAAAAAATAATCACAAACTATGTGTCGCCCCTTGGGCCCTGGGGCCCCAGGGCCTGTGTCCAGTAAGATTATTCTGTAATCCTTCCGTGACAGAACCAGTCCAGTTCCTGTGGACCTGTAAAAATCCATACTGCTGTGTCAGGTCTTACAGAGCGAGAAGATAAACCTATAGATCAAATTTTGATATTGATAACAGCTTCCCAGTATAGAACACTTAATGGGATCCTATGATATGAATGAATCAATATCAGTGGGTTCTGTGTTTTTCTAGTAAATGAGAAATAATTGACAACAGACTGCAACTTCTAAACCTTTATGTCTTGCCCTTCAATTGATCTTAGGACTGAGTTCAAGGCATACAAGGATGTGAAACCAGTGAAGCCCATTAAGGCTCCATCTCAGTATAAACCCCCCGTGGAGGAGACCAGTCTGGAAACCAGCTACAGTGCCACATTCAAGGGGGAGCAGGTGAAGGCTCACCCCACCGACAACAAGCTGCTGGAGCGCAGGAGGATACGCAGCCTGTACAGTGAGCCCAGCAAGGAGGCTGCCAAGGTGAGAGCACGTCCACACGCAGACCCCCCGACATTTACATTCTCACTTATGTCTCCTCTAGAGCCACATTTAGTAAGCACCTCCCTTACAGTCATGTCACAAACTATATCAGCCCTGGTTTAATATTTTGTGATTAACACACTGCTGTATTTGCTCACTGGAAGATCTGCCACGTAAATTGTATTTAATTTGAAACCCCACCCTGGCCTAATGGTCACATTTATTATACACCACCAACAGCAGCAGCAGTTTATATATTTTAAAGGTCTGTTACCTCCTAAGAATTTCCTGAAAGTTTCCCAAAAAGAACCATGGCGCATGGTACTACTGTAATTACATGTAGAGACATTTTAGTTAGTTCAAGTAGCCATGATGAGTTTATTATTGACTTCCAGAAGATTTTCCATGAAAGAAAACGCTCCAGTGAGTATTTGCTACTCCTTCATTTATTATTGGAAACTTTATTTCTCACTTATGCTGAACTGTAAGTTTATTTTCAGGTACATTTCACATGTTGTACACCTGCTATCCTTTGTGTAGAAGCCTCAAGGTTGTGCTAGCTTAGCATTTGGAAAGTGGCGGTCTACCGACTGATCACTCTGTGTTCTACCTGTAATTATGTGTAGGCGAGACTATAACCAAATCATACGGTTCTTTCCAGGAAGCATCTTAGAACACTATTTGGAAACAAATTGGAATTTACAGACTCTTTATGCATGTTACCCACAGTTAAGACAAATGTGCGTAATAATGTGTGTAAAGTAGTGTTCATATGGCCTCTCTCATTCTTCAGGACTTCTCAGGGACTGAGAGCAGCTCTATTCTAAGTCTGCTGTAGTCAGGTGTGTTCTCTGTTTCTTTCAGAAGGCATGGAGGCTGATCTCCAACTGATGAGATGCAAACATGCATACTGCACACACACACACAAACATACACACTCTCAGTATGCACTTTGGTCAGTGTCAGCCTCAGTCACATTTATCACCCAACTACCAGACTCAGTCTTTTGAGAATTATAAGTAATGTTGTCACCATTTGCCCACCTCTCATCCCGCATGGCCCACTACCTTCTGGGGAGCTTAGCAGAGTCAGCAGTTCAGGATACGTGCGAGGGTGGATGGATAAATGAATGGAGGGCACCAAGAAGGCAATATGCTATTAACATTAAAGAATCAAAGCAAAGTAGAAGGATTTGTTGCACCAGTGGAGGCCAACAAGACAAAAACATCTTCACATTTGTTTAGTATACATCTAAACAGAAGGTCCGAATTTGGTGACAGTCTAAATGACAAGTTGTCCCATGTCTGCACAAAATTGGCTCATCATAAATCTGACCCCAAATCAAGCCTTGGTAACACTTGTTCCAGAGGATCTTACCCCTTTGACTTTTAATGTCTGATTTTTGTAGGTGCTGTTTTTAGGTGATGCATCTGTTAAATTGAACCTAGACGCGTCTTTATCATATAACCATGAAGACAGCTGAGCACCATGGGGCAGAGCGCACTGCTATAAAGGCTTTTGTGGTCATGAATATCATAATTACCACATCCAGTGTTAATCTAGTCCCCCTAATTGCACCTTGATGGTTTGTGGCAACAGAATTTACAATGCCATGCCCTACACACCATGTACTTTGCACCACCACTCGTTTATTCACTGAAATACTTTTTTACTAGCAGAAATGAGCTTTTAGAGGACAAATATTGGTCATCTCCTACACTACAAAAGTTTCTCTGGTTAATTTATTCAGCAAATAATATTCAGCATGTTTGCAACTTTTTTGCTGTACACCAACTAACAAGCTGAGCTTGTGGGAGCTTCTACAGAAGTCGGCTGTGGAAACCCCACAAGAGCAGAAAGAATGTTGCTCAAGTTAAGGACACATTCATCCACAGTTATCCAGTCATTGTGGGAGCCTGTGACACTCCAGTTGCAAGTGTTCTTGTCATGCTTCTTGGTTTTACCAACACTAATAATGGCTAAATGTTATGAAATTATTTCATTTTTTAAAAGTGTGAGACTAACATAAACCATGTATTTTTTATGTTATACTTTCTCTAAAGGTAGATTTTACTGGAAAACTGCATGAATCATTCTTCTATTAAAGGGAAGGCACAAATACACATTTTGTGCAGTTTTTTCTTTTGTCTTCATTGCACCAAACACATATTGCAAATAGTATCTATATCTTATAGTGTCATTTGCCTGTGATTATTTTAGGTAACAGGATAGAAACGGGTATGTATCGCATGCTGAAACAGGACTCGACTGGACTTCAGACTCCATGACTTTAAAGGAATAGTTTGATATTTTGGGAAATGCACTTATTTGAATACCACGTTAATATGTGTTGTTAAATATGCAGCTACAGCCAGCAGCTGTTTATCTTAGCTACAAGACCGGAAAGGAAAACACTAAGGCACTCAAGGATATAATCTTGTTTCTTCATCTTTGGACAAAGCCAAGATAACCTCATCCATTTCCAGGATTTAAGCTAAGCTAAGCTAATTGTCTGCTTAGCTTAAGATTCATATTAAATGTACAGACACAAGAATAGTATCCATCTTCTCATCTTATTCTTAGCACTAAGACATAAGCCAAGATGTGTATTTTCCCAGAATGTCAACATTTTACTTTTCTTTGCTTAATATTTGCCCCTCTCCTGTCTTTTAGGTGGATAAATCAGCACCTCGCACCAAACCAAAAAAGACACCAACAACAACAACAGGGAAGATGGTGAAAAAAGCAAAAGAGAAGCAGATTGCTAGTTCCCAGTCAGCCAAGAAGAAACCTTCATCGGGCGCCACAGAACCCGAACCAGTGGCAGCTGTCACAAAGAAGAGCAAAGAGATCAGCAATAGACTGGCTGAGGCAAAGCAGTAAAAGTCATCGCGCTCCAGTGTTAACGTGTGCAATCAAAGGCAACTTGACAAATTTGGCAGATCTCACCCTTTTGGTTTCTTTCCTTAGCCGTCTTGTTTTGCTGTCCTGCCACATATTGTTCACCTTTCAGTGGGCACTGACATTGAGCTTTTAGAATAATGCAAATAATTTCACTGCAAACTGTGTGAACGTGTGTACGTGAGTGCATCAAAGTACGTATGCGATTGCCTGTGTTTCGAAGCGCAGTCGCTTTATATTATTGAGCACATATTTTGCACATTATTTCTACGAGTTCTGTTTGACATCAAACAACAAAGAGCCAGCTGTACACATGTGCTCTAATGGGTGTATGATAGGGCATTTTTACCTCTGTCTGAGTGGATAACAGTTGAGCTCAATGTTAAAACGATTGTAGAAAATGTCATCCTTTTTCTCCGAGACTGTTTCACATGAGAGGTTTTGTTAAGATACAAAATCAGTTTGTGTTGCATTTCCTAGTTACTGTGCCTCGGCTGTATGGTCCTGGTTTTCATTTCATTGTTCTGGATGATATCTGGTTTCATCAGTTTGGTTGCTAAGAAACCAAATAAACTGTAATATAATTGCTAAAGCCTGCATGCATGGCCCCGTTTTTGGTTGAGTAGCAACATATTAGCAGACTATACTATATATCACAGTCACATTTTAGCTTGTAAATTGAGCCATTAAAGATACATGTATAGGGGCAAGATCTTTTCAAGCATAATGCATGTGTAATAATACATTCTGGTCACATCAAAAGGTACACACAGTAGGTAAAATCATAGTCTAGTGGCTAATATAAACACACCAGCAATATGGTTTCACCCACAAACATAGTTCTTGCAAACTAAATGGAGATCCACTCCTTTAGATTAATAGGAATACTGCAGTTTTCACAACAAATTAGTCTTTTGTGGCATTGTACGCCATCCTCTCCTCTGAGCTGTGATGCTGATTGTGCTAAATAAGAAAACAAAAAGTCTGCATATAGGCCTGAAATGTGCATTTTGATCTCTCCAGGTGTTAAAGGACAAAGAATGGGCCAGGACTTAAACGCGCAGCTTTTTAAAATGCTGCTGTCTGATAATGTGCAAATCACGTCTGTTCATTGTGAGTGTGACATGAGGTGTTTTTACTAAAATGGAATGTCACAGCCTTCCTCCAACACAGACGTCTATACTGCTATACCCCTAGTGGCCAAGACGGCTGCACTGTGTGATGACCCTGTCAAGCATTAGCCACCGTGAGTCTGCTTCCAGTTGTAGTTTCTGTGTATGTGTGTGTGAGTGAGTGTGTGTGTGTGTGTGTGTGAGTGACTGGCATTCTCTGAGACTGACCCGACCACTAAAAGTGCTGCTATGCACTCCGACGCCCTGGTGCTATATCTTTCACTGTATATGCTGTCTGCTTCGGACTTTGCATGGTGTCAGGCCAGAGTGAAGTGATGATATGACAGTGTCATACAGCAGCAGAACTGTTGTGGTATTGTGCTTGTATTGTCAGCTTGCTCTGAATGAACTCTGATTAAAATCATGATACAGAATCCTGTGTTGTATCTTATTGCGTTCTTTGTGTTAGCCATTATTATTTCTTAAATGTATGTTGTAACTTTAAAAACAGTATTCTACTTTCATGCCACAATCTGACAGAGTAATTTTGAGCTGCAGAAATGTTCCAAATATCTTATGTGAGCATTAACATTTGAATAAACATCTTCTGTTTTTGTATTTGATGCAACATCCTCTGAATACTACAGTAAAAAGGTAGTAGTTTTATTCTTTTTTGTGTCTTTCTATATCATTTTTCAAAATTCTTTTAAACACTAGGCCTGTTGTGCCCTGCAGATGTTTTACTCCTCCAAACTCAGCTAACATTCAGAGCCATTTAAACTGTTTTTCTTGATATGAGATGTCATCAGTGCTTGCCTATCTCCAGTTTTCTTATGGTTCAGGGGTTAATTAACAGATGCAAAATGGCCTCATCTTAAAAAGAGATGTTAAGTCTTTAATAAAACAAAGGGCAAACTTAACATGGAAACATTTTTCAGTTTCTTCACTATTGAGCTTTGAGGTGCTGGTGGTCATTTTCCTGTGAATCAGTCATTCTGACATAAAACTGCATGAATAATTCAGCACTTATGGGCCCTTGTGTTTCAGAGAAACATGAAATATTGAATAACAGCTCAGTGATGGCACAGGAGGTGCCTGAGCTCTGTCCCTCCCTAAAAGACTTGTCTGGCTGGTTATATAGACTCATGTACACATACATTACAGTAGCTCAGTGTTGAAAGAACTCATGCTCTTGCTTCACAGTGTGTATAATACAGTATATTATTTTGGTGTTATTTTTTATTTTTGTCATGTTAAAACACTGCCGAGTGCTGTCATAAACAAAAGTTACTGTTATAGACAAAACCAGTCTTTAGGAGATACCTATGAAAATGGCATTTATTTAAGTACATTTACTGTAGTTAAGGGCAATTTTGAGGTATGTGTACTTTACTTGAGTGTTTTCATTTTCTGCTACTTCATACTTCAACTGCACTACATTTCAGAGAAAAATATTGTACTTTGTACTCACCATATTTATTTGATAACTTTAGTTATTAGTTACTTTTCAGAATGAGGCTAATAAAACTAAATACAGTAGAATCACAAGATTGATCCTTGGTGTCAAATTCACAAGCTACCCAGCGGTAATTCAAATTAAATGCACATAAGCTATTTCAAAATAACTCCACCTTTGCCAGCTACAACATTAAATGTGATCTACACAATATTGCATCAATAATTATAACTGAATAATATGATGTAAACTGTTCCATGTTGCATATTTAGTACTTTTTCTTTTGGAACTTTAAGTATTTTTTTGTACTTTTACTAAGTAATATTTTTAATGCAGGACTTTTATTTGTAACAGAGTATTTTACACTGTGGTATTGCTACTTTTATTTAAGTAAACAATCAGAGTACTTCTTCCACCTCTAAGCCCAAGTTAATATATAAAGTTGTCTTTACTGGCAGGTCATCTGTTAAACACCAAAATATGGAAAACTATAAAAACATTATCACCACTGATGCCAGTTTATTTTATGTAAACAAACTCATTTACTCATCAGTTAATCGTCAGCTTTAGTGTAGGCCTACTTTTCTAGGTGCCTCTTAATTTGTCAACAAATTAATCCAGGAGGTTACTCTGACTCTTAGAGTATTTTTATGTTTTTTTTTTTTTTTTTTACTTAGGCCTACTTGTTGGCAAAACAGCCGACTTTAAATACATACAGTACTAATACCATACAACAATAGGCCTATATAAAATCTTCAATAAACCACAAGAGCAACTAGGATGTTTAACTAAGAGCAACAAGAAGAAGAAAATAATTATATAGACTACTGGTTTTAGAACAGTCTTGAATCTCTAGAGTAGAAAATATAAAGGCTTTTGTTGTCTGTATGACTGCAGGGGACAGACAGCAGATTGGTATCTTGTGATCTAAGAATGCAGGTGGAAGGTGAGCTTTGTGAAATGAGTTTGTAAAGGTGTGGAGGTTTAACTCATGACTTTATAAATAGAATGTAGGCTACAAAATGGTGTATAAAAGGTATGATCAATATCGTGATTTTGGTGATCAACCATCAGCAATAAATGTGTTTCATTTTCTTCCTCTCTGAAACTGAGAAGTAGTTTAATTTTTTTTCTGCTTTACTGAAAGAAATTTAAGAAGTCCCGAATTTGCTGGATTACTCCGGTACACCAGGAGGCGACATGCTTAGTTTGTATTACACAGACGAATAAGAATCATTTCCGGTTTTGAGGCACGGGAGGGAAATAAACAAAATCAGACAGTTCAGAGGAGGGAAGGCGAGTTGTCCCGTTTTAGAGTACAGAGCTGGGTGGTAAGAACTGTTTATAAAGCTTTGTCTGTGATTTGTGTCGGAAACATGCTGTGTTTACATATTCTGCGTTTAGTTCTGAAAGGCTTCTCGTGTTAAATGATTCAAAATGATAAACTGTTTAAGGAAGGTCCGACAAACGGTGCAAATGTGACAGCCACACTGTTAGACAATATGCTAACTTTTACTAACTTAGCCTAGATATGATCAGCATCTAGGTTAACTATTTATTGGTTTCGTTAAGTAGTCAGCAGTCAGAAATAAAAGCGAGCCTTCCCCTTTTCGTTCACTTCATCTAACCTCGGTTAAAACGTTTTCTGATTTACCAAACGTGGGGTTAAATTTCCCAGCCAACTCCAACCAACAGTTAGCATAATATTCTACTTTATGAAATAGCTTCATATGGCTTCGCTCAGAGCTTATTATGTTTTTCTGTTCAGGAGGTATTGGGTGTGTGCAGCCTAGCCCTATCATGATGACAACTAAGAGGCTAGACAATTTTGAGGTGGTGTGTGAGTGGGCTTCATGCAGCTTCAAAGGCCACACCATGGAGGAGCTGAGCGATCACATGGCCCTGCATTTAAAGGATTACCTGGGAGACGGAGATGCCCTGGAGGAGCTGGGTAAGTGAGGAGGGTATTTGTGCACTTGCTAAACCAACATGTGAATGACCCCTTGCTTACAGGACAAACACAAGGAGTCAGCATAAGGTAGCCGTAGGGCTGGCCTGGTTTCAAACCTCTTTTTCAGTGGTGCCTTGGCCAAGATGGCCGCATATAAATCAGACAATGACAACATCTTACAGAAATGAAAAAAAAAAAAACACTACAAAATAGAAACTGGGTAATGAACAACTTCAACACTGACAAAAAATAAAACAAAACAGTGAAGGACTTGCTCATTAGTGCAGTTATGATAGACTGAATTCTGACATTTTTTACTAGGGGTGCAACTAAAGGTCATTCTAATAACCGATTCATCTGTTGATTATTTCTACTTTTAATTGGATGTATAAAACATGCAGAAACCCATTTTCCACATTATATAAAACAAGTGTATTCATTTAAACAATGCTGATGAACAGGTAACCCGAGGCTGCTTGACAACACACAACAATCACCACAGCGCAATAAACTGTAAATAGAACCGCTGCTATTACCAGGCTGAAAGCTCTCAGCTGTAATGCATATATGTGTATGTACATAAAAAAAATCTTTCTCCCTTCCCCCTCACCCTTCTCTATTTTCATTGCACATGGCATGTTTCCTACTCCCTGTTGTTTCTGAGCAGTACACTGAGAGCCTCTGTACTGGAGTCAAATTCCTTGTATGCTCAAACATACATGGCATTTAAAGATTCTGATTCTTGTGCAATGTTGCTATGCTGTGCTTTATTAAACAAAAATTATTTGTTCAAGAATGCAGCCTTTATAAAGTGCTCATCGGGTTCTTACAGTACGAACAGTTTTTATGAGTTAAAATAATTTAGGCTATATGTTCAAAAAAAACATACCATGTTAATGTAAGGGGACAGTACAAACATAACTGCTGCTGGTGGTTAAAAGTAAATCTGAGTATGCCTAAAAAATCCTCAATACATTTAAGCCTACTCTTAACTTGCATATGTGGCATGTATACCATTTATAAGGGCAGTCATTTTCTATATTGATAGTATTTTCAGCAATCTCCCTACAGAGACTAGAACTGTCACTGTATTGCCTCTACTCATGGTTAATGTCTGTCAGGTGGCAGTCGTGGCTCAGCTTGTTTGTCTGTGCGATAGATCTTTGTTGAAACACGCCGTTGTACTGGTTGACACATTTTTTTTCCATTACGAATCCACAGACCCGCCTGTTGCCGCGAAGGCTCTGTGTTGCCTTAATTTCCTGAAGTTATCACAAGTCAGAATTATCTGCGCACAGGCGAGATCTTCTGTGAGTTCTCTGCTTTGTTTACCTTCCGCCAGCTACTCACACTCAGGTCTGGGGTTTGCTAATTTAGCAATATGCCACCCTGTGCAGCAGCATCTTTCTTTTATAGACTGACAGATTGTGACTGTGAGTAGAGGCAATTCATTGTCGCTGTTAGTCTCAGTGTGGACATGGCTGATAATACTATAATATAGAAAATGACAAGCCTTATCGTTTAATCTTCAGTGGATGAGCACATGGATAGATTTCTTCTTGTCTATACACTGAAGGAAATGTATATCAAAATAACACAACTCAAAGTCACCAGTAAATACAAAATTGAATAAATCACATAAAGAAGCTTAGTACTTTTACTTACATCATGAATGCCTCGATCCTCACAGTATTTGGTAAACAACAGGCAGAAACAGGAATCTAATAATGTAACACAAAACATTCACCCCAGTAGCTCATAGCAGCATCTGTGACATATAATTAAATGCAGTAAGTAATAAGGTAAAGCTCAGTATTTTAACTTATCACACACCTGATGTTTGGAGGGGAACAAATGATTTGCAGGCCTGAGGGATGGGGTTTTACAACTTCTTGGTTGTGTCTAATGTAGTGAGTGGGGGGAGGATTTTGTTTACAGACTTGAAGTTTAACAGTGGCAAGTGTCATTGCCTTTTTCCCCACTGGTTTGTTTCTACCCTGACTTTGACTTGAACCTAAGCTTTTCCCTAACACTGGTCATCTCTGAGATTAAACGTAACCTGATCTAAACTCTTGCCCCAACCACTGACAGCAGCCCTACTGGACTATGGTTGGGTCTCTGGTGATTAAACCAAGTGCTCCTTTTCCTAGCTAAGCTACATTAATCAATAGCAGAAATGTGTTACATCACCTGACGAACTGTAGACAGGAAGAGAGACTGATTCAAAAACAAATCCAATGTGTTTGGCATTGTGAAGGATATTCTGTGCCGCCCTGCCACTGTTCCTCAAACGTTGTGCTGCCTGCCCTGTACACCTAGTGCCGAATAACACTTGAGGAAGAAATAAATCACTTTGCAGTTATTAGTTGTAGTTATTGGTTAACGCAGCTTAGCGAGGAAAAGGGAGCGCTTGGTTTGATGCAAGGGATCTCACTGCTAATGCAAACATGGCAGAATCGTCACATACGACTGAGATCGCACAGGGATCTAAATCACGCTGAAAACGATTCATCGTGCAGTCCTACTCATTATTACTCTGGGTTTGATGTTTTCGGACTCTGTGGTACGTTAAAGGACTAGACAACAGCCTGTCTGAAGGAATTTACTGAACATAATGCAATCACTTTCATTAGCTTTGTTAAGAGTCCAGTTTTTCATTGAGTGCTGAGCCCTGCCCAGTCCATTATGAGTGTGCTTGTTTAGATTTTGTAATAACTTTCCTTTCGTCATTACATTAATTAGTCCTTTCCTTTCATTGTTTAGATGAATATGCTTGTCTCTGGAATGGATGTGAATTTTTGTCCATGGGTAGCCCTGCGGAGCTGGAGGTCCATGCTTACTTCCACAACTACCACGGTAAGCTCAAGTTTGTTGGCTCGCAACTGCTCAAGTCCCGCCCTGACCTGCCCAGCTGCAACCAGGGTTTACACAGCAACAACCTAGTTCCTGAGGGATCGGACAGATACACTTGCCAGTGGGAGCACTGTGACGTAGGTATTTTTAGCTCAAGTTATTCATCGGTCATCAAAAAGATTGAAAAGCAACATTATATATTTGTTTCCTTATGCAGAGTACATTTAACAATCCTGAGTGGTTCTACCGGCATGTGGACAATCACGTTGAAAGTGCAGAGCCACAGTCTCTCTCACAGCAACAACAGGCCCTTTTCTGCCACTGGACAGGTCTGGTATAAAGAGACATTCCTCTTATGTCCAGCTTTACCTTCCCTGGCATAGTATGACCTGTGTTTCACATTTCTATCATAGGCTGCGATGCCTTCTTCAAGATCAGGTACCGCCTGAGAGAGCACATGCGGAGCCACACTCAGGAGAGACTTGTAGCGTGTCCCACGTGCGGCAGCATGTTCTCCAGCAACACAAAGCTGTTTGACCACCTCCACAGGCAGGCCGAGCCAGTGGGTGAGAGGGACACTTTAGTTTAGGTCACTGTTTTTTAGAATGTTGAAGTGATTATTGTTGTACTAAAGTGCTGACTTCTGCATGTGCGCTTATTCAAACAGAGTCACTGGTATGCGAACACTGTGGCAAAGCTTTTTCCAGCGAGAGGCTTTTGAGGGATCACGTTCGTCAGCATGGTAATAACCTTCTGCAATGTTATTGATATAGATCATTTCTGTCTTGATCAGATAGTTATTATGGCAGTTTGGCTACAGTGGGTCAATTATTTCTAAATACTGATGGAGAAGGAATTTCACAGTTCCTTCTCGTCCTGTGAAACCACAGTTTACAAAACCGCCTTATTTCAAGATCCATTTAGTAGCTTTAGTGGGACTTCTAATTCTATCAGGTGACCTTCAACAGCAAATAGTCTGTTCATTTGACCCTTTCCCAAGTCATAAATTTCAGCATGTTAAGTACTTGGAGGAGACTACTTTTTGTTGATTAGGGATCAGCTACAGTGGTGTGAAAAAGTGTTTGCCCCCTTACTGATTTCTTATCTTTTTGTATGTTTCACACTTTGTTTCAGATCAAACAAATTTAAATATTAGTCAAAGACAACACAAGTAAACATCATGCAGTTTTTAAATGAAGGTTTTTATTATTAAGGGAAAACAAAATCCAAAACTATATAGCCCTGTGTGAACAAGTGTTTGCCCCCTAAACCTAATAACTGGTTGGGCCACCCTTAGCAGCAACAACTGCAATCAAGCGTTTTTGATAACTTGCCATGAGTCTTCCACAGCGCTGTGGAGGAATTTTGGCCCACTCATCTTGGCAGAATGGTTGTAAGTCAGCCACATTGGAGCGTTTTCTACATAGCCCTGTGTGAACACTTGTTCACACAGGGCTATGTAGTTTTGGATTTTGTTTTCCCTTAATAATAAAAACCTTCATTTAAAAACTGCATGATGTGTTTTACTTGTGTTATCTTTGACTAATATTTAAATTTGTTTGATGATCTGAAACATTACAGTGTGACAAACATGCAAAAAGATAAGAAATCAGTAAGGTGGCAAACACTTTTTCACACCACTGTATATAAGGTTTCATCCATCTCAGATCTTTGCAGCACATTGTTCTCCGACATGCCAGTTCTTAAAAATTCCCCTTTGCATAGATTGTTCTCTTATGCAAATTTCAAAGGAATTACTGATTTGTTGTTAAAGCTACAGTATGTAACTTGGGGTAGAGCTAACACGAAACTCCAAATTGTTCCACTCTGCTACGCCCAGCACTCCCTCTGCTCCACCGTGCTCTGCCCAGCTCTTCAGAGGTTTGTTGTTATGACATTACAAGAAATGGGAAAGTAACAAAACTTATTGATCAAGCAGAAATAACTGAAATTCTCTGACTGGTTAGAGAGGTCAGTCCCTCTCAAAACCTTCTAGAAGCTAATATCCCTGCACTGCTGCCAGTGATGTTCAATGAGTCTGGGTCGAAGGAGCTTTTGACAGCCCCTCTCCACATTAAGACAAGTTGTGGAGAATTTTTCTACAACAGAAATATTTGGAAAAAGCTGTATACTGTAGCTTTAATTAGCATGTTAGAATAAATATTAGATGTTTGCCTCTGCACCTGTAAAAAGTGCATGAAAGAACATCTGTTGGTCAGTTGTTAATTAGCCATTTGGCAAGTATCTTAATTAGTTACTTCCTGTGTGCTGTTCCTTTGCTCTCAGTGAATCAGGTGAAGTGTCCATTCTGTGATATGACCTGCACCACTTTGGCAGCTCTGAAGATCCACATCAGGTTCCGTCACTGCGATGAGCGACCCTTCCCATGTGACTTCTGTGATAAAAGGTAGACCATGAAAAGAGTTCACACCAAAACTACTTTGGCAAAAAGAGGTCTCAGGAAAACTGTCAAACACTGAGTATGTCCACCTCTTAACTCGTGTCAGGATGGACAGCACATTAATGGCCTTTTTTGAAGAATGATGTCCTTGCTCTCTTATTGAATTACCAAACAGAAAATAATTGGTGACTAATTCATTTCACTTTGTGGTCACTGTGTGTTTAGGGGCCTTTGGGTTGTTTTTAAATGAATGGCTTTAGCAGAAAAGCCATGTCAGTTATATGTTATAAAAATGCAAATAAATACAAACAACAAAGGGATAACAAGCAGAGTTAATGCAACGGGAATTCTACTGGATCCGCATGCTAAACACAGCAAACCGGTGATGTTGTTGTTACTAATTAGTGTTGTCAATTAGTGTTGTTAAAAATATTAGTTTTTTTTTTTTTTTTTTTTTTTACATATTCATTCTGAAAATTTGGAAAACTTTCAGTATTCATTTTTCCATAGTACAAGTACCAATGCCAGCTGTGTTTTCTTGCTCTTTCTTCTCTCCAACAGCTCTCATGCCTCTCGTCTCATTGTGCTGATTGAATTTGAAGCTAACAACAGACCACAGTATATTATGGGTTTTGCTATGGTGTTAGCTCATTACAGATGACAAGTGCAGAGCCTCCGTGACCAGCTTTGGTTGACAAAGAAAATGGCACTGCTGTTTAGCAAGAGTATGTCCCCCCCTGTGGAGATTACTCCCTAGGTCTGCAGTCTCTCTGCTACTAGCCAAGAAAAGAAAGTCGTTCCTGGTTGTCATGTTATAGCCTCATTTTTAATGTGAAATATTATGCCCTCATTCAGGTGTCGGCTTTTACCTGCAGTATCAAAAATTGTATCAAATTGATATTTTTCAAGGCATTGATTTGAATTTAGAAGTTCAATTTTTGTGACACCAGTGCTAATATTCTTGACGGTACTTTTGAAAACGTATAAATATTGTGTACAGTAGTATTTAAGGACATAAACCTGAATCTGCTTTTACATACATGTTTGTATTGGACTTGTATTAATTACATACATGTTTGTATTGGACTTGTATTAATTACATACATGTTTGTATTGGACTTGTATTAATTACATACATGTTTGTATTGGACTTGTAGTTATCCTTTTTTTTTTTTTAAACATAGATTTAAGAACCAGCGTGATCTACAAAAGCACACAGAGGTTCACAATGAGGGTACGGTGTATCACTGTACTGTGGAGGGTTGTGATTATTCTTGTCACACATTCCAAACCATGAGCCACCACTTCAAGAGAGCGCATGAGGTTCGTTCGCACCCACATAAAGCACTCAGTGAAGCCGTACTGTACGTCTACATATAATGCAAATGATGCCCCATTATTTATGTAATTACATGATTTTACCAACAGGTTGGGGGCATGTCCAAATATAAATGCCATATCTGTGATAAGGTCTTCTCCTGGTGTTACACTCTCACACTTCACCTTCGCAAGAAGCATGAGCTGAAATGGCCGTCTGGACATTCACGCTTTAGGTAAGTCGTAGCAGCCAGTTAGTGCTCTGTGCGTTTACATGTCAGCTTCCTCCATTGATCTGATTATATAAACTAGAGGCCTTCACAGGTCCAGTGTTTTGTTGCCAACATGAATTTGACCCAGGAGAAAAACAGGGACCTGCGTAAATTAAAAGAAAAGCTTTCTCCATAGCGATTACACAGACACTCGGGTCCATTCAGATCCACTCAGGTATTGGACACATTGGCACACAGGCTTGAGACCTACAGCAGCAAAGAACCTATCTGATCCAATAAAGATGGAGTCGAATTTGGAGCCTACCCAGCTGAGTTCTGAATTCATCAGAACCAAGTGGACCCATGAAGTAAACATCATGTATACCAGAAGTCCAGTTTCTGGAACTGGGATAGGGAATTAGAGAAACTTGATTTCCTCAGGTAAATGTCTTCTGGACAAAGTTGACTAGATTTACATGCATTTGCATTCATTATATGTAGCAGTATATCCTCATATTAAATATAACCAATTCATCATTTAAACCACTTGTACTGTGGGGCGTGCAAACTCCACACGGAAAGGCCCCGGTCAGCTGTGGGGATCAAACCGAATCTGTGCATTTCACTGCTACAGCAGGTAAAAAACAGTTGTAATCCTTCCAAAATGGGGCCAGGGGTCAGAGTGAAATCTGATGGCTGACCGGTTACATTTATAGTAGCCTGGTTACTGCTGGTTTCATGACTGCATACCAAGGCGCTGATACAGACGTTTCATGGCCCCTGGCCTTTTATCCGTCAGGTGCGCATCAAATATTTGTATGTGATTAATCTTAAAATGTTTTGTTTTCTCAATAGATATAAAAAGGATGTAGACGGCTTCCTAAAAGTAAACATGGTGCGGTTTGAGACTGTGGAAGTGACCAAAGAGATCATGAAGAACATGGCCAAGAAGCGTTCGAGCCTTGGGAAATGTCCGAAGAGCAGCAGCCGGAACAAGAGAGCTGCGGTCACACCAGAGAGTGGCTGGAGCTCCCCAACTGGTTCCTCCTCACCCTCCTCCAGCTCCTCCTCCTCATATGACTCCGAGTTCTCGGGAGGTGAGGATGTGTTGTCTCAGCCGAGCCCTAGAAGCAGTGACTCTCCTGTGTACTGTGTGATGAGCACCATCCCCCACATTGAAGACGATCCTGAAGGGATAAGTCAGGAGGACTGTGAGAGTAGTGGGACGTCTGGGGCCGTCCAGGCCCTGACAGAGGTCGCCAGGGGCCTGGGTATGGACGTGGTTTGATGGTTCACTTTGCACTGGGTCAAATCACAGATGTCCAGTGGAGCCTCTGGTTTAGCTGTTTTGCAATTAATCAGTTTGTGAATTGTAGTACATTTTGCCGTGGAGCTGTCAGTGGAGACGACTCTGCCACTGGTTCTTCTAGCAAATGCTTTCACTTGGTTTGCAGCATTTGTAGTGATGTTACTTTGAGACAGTTTCTATACACTGGCTTTTGGAGGACTACACTTTCAGTGTAGCAGCTCTAATTAAATATTATGCTTCAGCTCAGCTTTATGACATCTTGTGATTATGAGATTGCCTGTTAAACCTGTGTCAGTGTTTCTGGCAAAGCTTGGCAAAAGTGAGTGAGTGAGTTAGAAGCATTGTAAAGCTGCTTCTATGAAACTTTGCTCTTTACACACTATGTTCCATTTCCTGTGATATTTCCATGATGTTGCCTGACAGAAGACAGGAGTTTTTTATTGTGGCCTTGGAATTCTGCTTAATTTTATTGTTACAAATTTGAAATACATTTTTGCTACAAATGCAAGCTTTTTATTGTTCTTGTAGACTGAAGGATCACAGTGCTGATTGACCAGTGGTTTGTCTCAGACTGAAATATCTCACCAACTAGGATGAACTGCCCTGACATTTTGTCTAGCGCCATCATCAGGTCAAAATTTGAATTTGTCCAATACTTTGGTTAATGACCAAACACCTGGAAAAAAAAGACCTTTCTTCATCCTGAGCTGTTCTTTGTGCTGTATGTAGTGCTAATTAGCAAATGTTAGCATGCTGCATTACCACACTAGACAAAGGTGATTTTTAAACATACCTGCTAAACCTCAATGTGTTAACATTCAGACTGTAGCATTTAGCTCAAAGCAGTGTACAGCCTCGTGGAGCTGCTGGCATGGCTGTACACTCGATGTCTGGGAGGCAGCAGTGGCCCCGTCAGCTCTTCTTAACTCGGCTCTGTTCACACTTAGGTTTCCAAACTGACGAACACTTGATTGATCTTTCTCACGTGAGTATGAAAACCATCTAAACGATCCATGTTCCACTCAGTTTGTGTCGCCCTCTGAAGTTAACCCAACTTAAAAAATTATCAAGCACATCATCTTAATCTACTTAATAATTTTCATCAAATAACCAAACTAGTATTGTGCACCAACTAGAACGACCAGTGAAGTAACAGACATACTGGAAATGAGTAATTAAGATCATAGACTATGGTCATTGTGGGAATAGCTGCCATCTTGCTTTTTTTTTGTTGTTGTCAAACATTTACATTTTCTACTACTCGAAAATATCAATGTACTGAGGCACAGATATGAACAGCAAAACCCAGTGTGGGTGCACATATGGAATACAAATATGTATGGGAGATACAGAAGTAGATGCATACTTCCTTAATGTACTTGTTGACAGGTGAAAATTCAGAATATCCTATCAGAGAGAAAACTACAAAATCAGAGGAATAATAAACACAATCATCACAGTACACAATCAGGTAAATAAGACCCTTCTCTAAATGTAGTGCCAGATACACAAAGAGAATGTCACCACCACTAAGACCTTTTGAAATAATTCACAAGAATGAGCTGATGACTAAAGGAGACTTTACTTCTGCTCGTATCATCACCACATTTACAGCTGCCCAGCTGCTCATATCATCACCACATTTACAGCTGCCCAGAGGTGGCGTCAGTAAGCGGTGATCGGACAGACTCTGCGTGGTGATGACTCTAATGTTACAAGCCAAGACAAAAGTGAAGTGGAGACTGAGCTGTTGTGTTTCTCACTTTGGGGTCATGTGACATTAAAGGCCAATGGTTCAAAATAATGCACTATGCTTAGCCGTGTTGCTTGTGGATTACAGGTCTGGAGAACACCAGGCGAGGTGAGGACACAGCCTTATATGTGGGAGTTAATCATTTCTCTGTCTAAAGCTCCTGATATTCTGCATTAACGTTTCTCTCTATAACCTCTGTCTACAACCCTCGGTCTTCATGACATCAAATAACTAGTTTAACAAGGGACTCATTAAACATAAATATGACTGTACAGTTGCCAAAACCCACCTAAGAAATCGATGCTGCAAAGAGTATCTTAATAATTGAGACAGTCAAGGTCACTATAATCTAGGAGAGTGAGGAGCTGCTTGAGTTAATGCAGATTACAATGACGAGGGAACTTAACAAATGTAATGTAAATGAGTGATTGCCAGACAGACCCTGGAGACTCAGGGCCCAGTGATGGAGGTGATGTGAGAGTAGAAACTCTCTCCCTCTCCAGCAAGCGGCCTCCTGCAGTAACGGGGAGATAAAGAGGTGGTGGGAGGACACAACGAAGAGCCTCTGTCTGCTTCTGTGCTCTGAGCGGTGTCCTGATGGCTCTGCAGGTAGTTGGTGAACAGTGTTTTAGGACCTTTTGTCTTGTGTGTATGTCCCAGTTTTTAACTGCTGGATAAGAGATGAGTCCTCCAGTTCTTCTGACGTTACATGCACTGCTGTTAGAATACAGCAGTGCTGTGGTGAGTGGAGATGGATGTGTACGAGTTGTCCTGAGGAGAGATTGGTCTGGTCATCTACAGTTTCCTGCTTCACACTCCTCACTTTAATGAAGCTGTCACAGCCCGGCTGCCTTTTCCTATCAAGTGAGCTGTCACATCTGTCGTCAAGTTCAGGAGTCACTATTCCATCCCAGGACGCGTCTCTAAGAGGTAAACCCTTTATTGTGTCACTGCGTTGACCCCTGTGTTCCTCCTCATCGAGTTTGTCTTCCCAGCGCAGGTTCAGCTGCTGCTCTGGTTTCTCCCTTTTGGTTTTATGGCTGTGGCAAGACGCTGGTGAAGATGTGTGAACATCTGAGGGACA